TGAGATTCAGTTTGTGGTCAGCTGTTCAGGAAGATCCGACGAGGAAGAGAGGTCGTCTAAGCGATCTGATTCGGGAACGTCCAACTGTTTACCTAAAAGTGAACTGATCAGTTACGAAACCCACTTAACAACACAAATGCTACACTGAACTGATGAGGGACCAGCGAGCTCGAGTGGCCTTGAGAGCAAGTTTGGAATCAAGAAAAATGCCAAGCTAGCTCGGTAGGGCAGTGCTGTGCTAAGCACAAATATAAAACTTTTCTAGATGGTGTTTCCATTCAGCTCTGATGCCCTTGCAATTAATCGTTAGAGATAGGGACTTCAGATGATTTTTTGTGGAGAATAAGAATACGATACTGCTGTGCCTTCACTTCCAGGACCAGAAAAGTGCAATTTTGTAATACATTCTGTGATCATCTAAGAACTAGAAAACTTCTTTGCAGTGCGCAGCCTAAACCTTCTCTAATGAGTCGTAGATGCTGCTCCATTGTCTTGGCTTGACACTGGGCGACGATGGTGCCGTAGTCATCTTCCTGTAACCCCGTTCAGCAGTTGGGACCACTACCCAGTAATGAGTGGCCTTTCTTTGCGAACGAGAGGGCGCGTAGGGGGACGTGGACTGAGACGCAGCAAAAGTGATCGTTTCCACGAATGATGCCTTTGCAGGGATCACGACCGTATGTAGCCTGCCACTGTTGCTGTGGGGTCTGCGATGCCTCTTCGAAAAATTGACCAGGAATGAAAACTTTATCGAAGGAGATGGGGTCCTATCCAGGGCGTTTCTATGGTGTTTTCGTCTACTCCTTCACCGCGTTTCAGTTGAGTCATTTATCAACTAAAACTACCATTTGGACCGACAGCGCATGGCTTCTATTTGCAGAATCCTTTTTATATATGAGGGTTATATGCGGATAAGAATGCTGAGCAATTTGAGAGGCGTATAACTCACCTTGCCTATTCTTTCGCTTCTTATTGGTCGAACCTTAAATTAGGGACATTAATTTTGAATGAAATTTATAGCACCGTGCATCCTACTCTATCCCACTTATTGAAATGAGGCCAGATTCAGGTTGAGAAAGTTTTCAAGAGTACACTTGGCTGGAGCTTCGAACCCTTTCAAATCCTTGTCGTGATCGTGATGCTACATCCCTCCACTAAGTAGCTCCAGAGAAAGAAACCCGAAGTAAGGACCTGGCCTCCCCTCTAAACGAGTTCTCCAGATCTGTTCTTTTTGAGGCAGTGAAGTTCCTTGCGGCCTCTGGCTCACTTCTCGCCTCTTCCTGTCATCCCATGCTAAGACCATCCGACAAAGGAAAAACAGTAAAAGCTAAACTCATGACATAAATCAGCCTTTGGGTGAAACAGGAAAACTAGGGATGCGTCAGGGCTGCCATTTATGAATGCCACAGCGCCTCCATTACTTATTGTAAAGCCGCGGGTTAATCCTAGAAAATGAGGACCAGAGCACTTGTACAGGGAAGGTCGCCTACGGTTGGCTTGAGCGCGGAGACTGTCTTCGAAGGTAACGTCTGCTCGCCCGACGTGCAGAAGCTCTCGTTGCACAAGGCGGCTTTGTCCGCAATAGCAGAGCATGACCCTCTTCTGGTACTCGACATTGCTTGTTCCCCACGGTTTAGAGATGACACGCTTGCTCCGCCTCCCACGGTTCAGGAACGAGGAGCTTGCTCCGCCTCCTGTCGCTGGATCCGCCTTTACCACTTGCTTCTGTGATCGCTCTCGAACATTCCAACGTTCTCTGGCAATGCCATGGCCGCTTCTCTGTTTTTATTCCCAATCGCTCTGCGCAGTATACTCATATAATTCTTAGGAACAACAGGGTTCATATCTAAGGCGTTTTCAACAGTATGAGTTGGTTTTTCTTTGACAGCCCTTTACTACATGATGCCAAGACCCCAGCCCTTCATCTGCAAATGGCTATCGTAGGCGCTGCTTTGCATGGGTGACCTACCGGAAAGGCAGTTTGAGAAGCTGAAGCAGGATCGAAACTGACCCAAAACACGGCCATAATATCAATAAAAACAATATAATCAATAAAATCATATACATATAATCAATATAATTCAATAGAAACACCCTTGTTTGCATAGTGAATGTCAATAACTAAGAGCTTACCGTGCTGGGCTGGCCGAATGTTGTCGTTGGGTACAGGTCGTGGAAATATGAGCCAAATATAATAGCCAAAGAATCCTATGCATATGTTGAAAGCGATGAAGTGACACATGGAGCGAATTTGATGATGGCCGTCCAAGTGGAGTACATCTCGCATCAACCTAGACGAGCGAAAAGGGCGTGAAGTGGTGATGGAAACGCCGAGCCCGTCTAGAGCGTCTCACACGATGTTTGCTCTTGCACTGAATCACACATGGTGAATCTATTCATGTGAGAAGAATAAGTGACTCACGTAGCAAAATGACTCGATTCGATGAGAAGAAGTGGAGGGGAAGAGGAAATGAGCGAAGAAAACGGGCAGAGTATAACCTTTTTTGCAAAATGGAAACCAAAAAACGTTTCACAGTCAAAACGTATAGGTTTGAAAAGGGGAAGTCACGAATAAAATCATGGAAAAGAGCCGTTAGTCCGCATGTTTGAGCGCTTTGGTACAGTACTCATCATGCTTCATCGGAGTACTGTAGTACCATTCTAAAGAGAGTTCTTTTAAAGCGACAAAGTGTTGCGAGCTTCGTTTTTATGCTTTTCAAGGAGTAGCTTTTCAAGGACCACATTACGTCACACTAGGCTTTGCTAAAAGCTTCTGCTTGCCGTTCAACATTGAAATTTTCTGTAGTTAGTGTTTTCAGCGCATTAGATTGGGCAAGACGTCTTTTCGATGGGTCACAGGGGTGACCCATCAAAAAGACGTCTTGCCCTTGGAGCTAAACCCAAACTTCTTTTCTCATGGAATGACGGGGTAGGCCTCAGTCGCTGTACCCTTGTAATTCGTTAAAGGCAGCGCCCACGTTCATTTGATGTTCCCGCGCCCTCTCTGGATATCATAGCCCTCCCTATGAGGATGCAGTATGTACTAGTTTTGCATCTCAAAAAGGCGAGAGGATAGCGCCGGTCGCTAGTGAATAGTCAGCCCCCGCCCACCTGGCCAGCTTAGGGTTCTATATTAGGCACTTTCCATGATTTTTTTCTGCTTTTTTCTTCACTACTGGATCACGTATTATATGAGCTCCATAACTCATTATTCGAAGCGGGCTCAGCCTTAAAGGCTAAGCAAAGCAGTTATGGCAGCCAGGTGGGCGGGGCGGCATCCTCTTCACAAGCGGGTGGCGCCATCCTCTCGTATTTTTGAGCTGCGAAATTAGTACATCCTCCACCCTTGTCGACAAAGCTACGATATCTAAGAGGGCGCAGAAACATCAAATGAACGCGGGCGCTGCCTTTAAGCCAAATGCCTGGGATTATGGCGATTGAAGAACAGTTAACATTGAGGGTTGAGTCATGGAAATCTCGCCCATAGCAGCGTTGTGTGGAAACAGACCTAGATTCTGGAGAGTATCGAGAAAAGATGGGAGAGGTTGATCTCTCCCATCTTGTCTCGATACTCTCCAGAATCCTTAACACCAGTGAGACAACCATGGAAGATACACAATTGCTTCACGCTGAGGTTCTTGATCCTATGGCGATAACGTGCCATTTGCTTCACGCTGCGCCATTGTGAAGGCTGGGTGACTCAATTATATCGTGACCTTGAGCGCTGGGATGAAGGGTGTCCCACAGGGAAACCTTTCAGAAACAATAGACCACGGGTCTTTTATGTAGTTTTACTCGATGTGCGAAGGTGCGAAGTTTGATGGTTCACTGAAAGTGTTTTCTTGTTGGTCACTCCTGCTGTGGGGCTAGCGCCGGACGAGAACTCATTTCTTCAATCCAAGAACTTGAAGGTACGAGGAAGAACTGGCCGACCTTCAGAAATCGTGAAGTCACTAATGACTGATGTGAATGGAGTGCCGAGGATTTCTTAGCCCCATACCGGATTTGGAGCCAGGAAAGTTTATATATCTTTGACGAAAAAGAAGTCAAGCGTGCTGTGCACGACGGATATCATAACCGTTTCCATTTCCATCGTGAAGTTTGTGGTCGCACCAGTTCTCTCAAAACTGCCAAGATAGAGTTTCAATTAGAGGTCGGGTGACGAAGAAGAATATTCTTCGTATAAACAGCTCTCTATATACAGCTGTATAAAGAGCTGCAATGTTTGCTTCTCATAGGGTAACAAGTTATACCGATGACCCCGAATGAAATATTCTAGAAATATTGCCGAAAGCAAGCTTTTGATAGATTTCGTCGCTTTAATGTGAATACATTCATCGTCACTGATGAGTTCACAAAGACCTTAGCTGCGGATGATGGTGCGTGTCAAAAGCTCTGGCTTGCAACGCTTACCAATTATTGTAGCGGGAAGGCGAAAACAACCAGTGAAAAACAATTGATACTGACTGCTGATGCGAACGACATGATCCAGTCCTGTCGCTTGCTCCCTTAAAGATCTGGGGAAATGGATTTGGCGCTGCACCAGAGCCGTATTCCTGACATGATCCATCATCCGCAGCGAACAAGACTCTACAAAATCAACAAGCTATTTCAGAGCGTCTAGTCCAAAGGTTTCAAAGAAATCAAAGAGAACTGTTAAATGGTAGAGCGGGAACACTGCGTATTAGCCAGCCTGTCAGTTATTTGAATTAAAGGAGACTGGGCCAGAAGACCTTTGTACAGAAGGAGCAGATCAAAAACATTGAGTTCGGTTTACAGGGGTTGTTTTCACATTATGGAACAAGTTCACAAGTCGGCTTTCTGCATAATGTAGGGGTGTTGGGGTAAAGCAAAAGACGATTTCCCGCTGAGCTGTTCCAGCAAGCCAAAAACAAGCAAACGAATAGTTGATTGTTCGGTTCTGCACAGCGACGAAATTTTCCATTTCTATATAAATAGAAACAAATAGAAAAGAATATTGGAAGAAGAAAACAGATGGTCCGTTTCGCCTGTTATTCCCAGACGAACCATCATTTCTCGCCAACCCCCAGAAAAGAGCCAAGCCAGACTTTGCGATGATTCAGCGAAAAGTTCGGGCCTAGCGGTTTGGCAACGGAAGTGTATGGGCGAGTTGACTTGCACGTACCCTTTCCACGTAAACCACTAAAGTGCTCAAATAGAGACACATGGTACGCTCAAACAAATTGAGGGTGTATGAGACAGCCCCCGCCGATCGCGATCGTTCGTGGGTCCCCCCTCGCTCAAGAACTGCAAGGTATCCAGAGTTCGGGACCGTGGGAAAGTTGTAAATCCTTGCTACGCCGCCCGTTTTTGCAAACTCACGTTTTTACTAACACCGTCCGCGCGGCGCGGTCGCGTGCAGCTCTCTTGGCTTTTTGCTCTTGCCTGTAAGCATAAAGGGAGGGCGGTGTAGCTAGGAATTACGACTTTCCCACGGCCCCGTACTCCGACCCCGGGCAGTTTTGGGCGGGGGGGGGGACCACGACACATCGACAGCTGGGGGGCTTGATAGTCTCATACCCCTCAATGTGTTTGAGCGTACCATGTGTCTTTAAAGGCAAGCGACACGGTATATTACAAGTCGCATAGAGTAAATGCGCCTGACACGAAAGAATATTGTGCCCTTCCGCAGGCGCTGGGTTAACGCCCCCGCACCTAAGGGCGCTCGTTATGGAGCCTAAAGGCCAAGAAGTAGCATGCGACCAACGCTCGACCTGAAAATGGCTACAGCCACATCGATTACTGGTACCTCTTGTCGACCTTCATTCGCACGAAGGAAGTTGATAGGGGTGCTGCGGTGCAGAAAGAACATATGAATTCAAAATGCGGCAACCTCTATGGGAGAAGCCGTTGGCACGCTGTCAACGACAGACTCGTTCAAGATTGCTTCAGTCGTTCCACTGTCGTGCAACAAGGGCTTTTTTTGAGGTCAGGCCATTCCGTTTCGGTTTCTCGTTATTTTTCCCTCTCTATTTGCAAGACTCGGGTCACTGCGACCATTACTAGACCTAGTCGAAATTATCCCTGCTTAATTTTTCTAGGACTGCATGTGCTCAGTACTACACAACGAACACAAGTGCGATAGTAAGTGACATATGATGTCCTACTTCGTTGTTCTTCATTTCTAGCCTTTGTCATCCCCTGCCCTGGGACCTGTTCAGTCCTCATTTGACATTCCAAGATCCACTCAGCAGAAACGAGTCTCTTTATTGCGTATTTATGTGTATAAATCTCAATCAAGCAAAACCCCTTTGAAATGCGTCTCATGATCTGGAAGACGCCTTTGTTAAAAAGGTTTTTTGGACCATCTTCACATTTGCCTTCGCGATGATCTGAGATAGAGAAGAAGAGATCCAGAATTTCAGATGGCTAGATGGCTAGCGAAACCCTTAAAGGCAGTTGGCACGATAAATCGCTATACAGGTGTAGGATTTGTACAACTGGCTTAACAGAATTCCGTGACCTCGGACAGGCGCTGCGTGAAGCCTTTTCCAAGGAGGGTACCCTATAAGGGCCCTATCAAGCCACAACTTTACGTCCCAAACGCCTTCCTTGCCCGCCCGCCCACAAATGGACGACCGTTCCTGACGCTCGTATTCATTCATTTGCTAAGCAAATTATGAAGCAAAGGGATTGGTATGAAGCGGCCGTGATGCTGCATGCATACATGGGTACACATACATGCATGTACATGTACATATACGTACATATATGGGTACATATATGCAGCCGTACCTTCGGTAGCGGTGATTGGCAAGATGCGTACGGGAAACTCGTCCGAAATCGATTTACAAGTCACTGAGAACGGAGGCTTTTTCTTCGCCGGATTTTGACCGTTTCACTCCGTTCTTTCGCCATTTCCCCACTATACAGCGCCCTACTAGCATTTTAGGCTAAGTAGGGAAATTAATAGTGCCAACCGCCTTTAA